GCCACCGTGCTGTGTCTCACATGAGACATGACAAAGTGTGCAATGCAGGCCACATACAGCATAGTCCTTGCCCTCCAGGACGTCCCATGGAGCTAAAACAGAGGTGGCCAAGCAGTGGTGAGGAAGGGGAGGGTATCCCAGAAACATAATCTTTCTCCCCTTCCCAGTCAGTTCTCCCAACCTAATCTCTCATCAAACAAACACACACTTCTTTTTTTTATCATTTAAAAATATTTTATTATATCATTATTGTACTGGGGGTACACAGTGACATTTACCAAAGTGCTCACACTATATGTTAGCTAAGTTCACCCCTCTGTCATTCTCTTTCAACAGCATTTTGACAGTTTTTTTTGTTTTTGGGGTTTTTTTTTTATATTCAGCTTTTTTTATTGTTTTATTATTCATATGTGCATACAAGGCTTGGGTCATTTCTCCCCCCTGCCCCCACCCCCTCCCTGACCACACACTACACCCCCTCCCTCTCCCCCCCACCCCCTCGCTACCCGGCAGAAACTCTTCTGCCCTTATCTCTAATTTTGCTGAAGAGAGAGTAGGCAATAAAGGAACAAGTTTTGTGGCTGAGATAAGGATAGCTATACAGGGCATTGACTCACATCGATTTCCTGTGCGTGTGTGTTACCTTCTAGGTTAATTCTTTTTGATCTCACCTTTTCTCTAGTTCCTGGTCTCCTTCTCCTATTGGCCTCAGTTGCTTTTAAGGTATCTATTTTAGTTTCTCTGAGTTAAGGGCAACAAATGCTAGATAATTTTTTAGGTGTCTTACCCATCCTCACCCCTCCCTTGTGTGCTAAAGCTTTTATCATGTGCTCATAGTCCAATCCCCTTGTTGTGTTTGCCCTTGATCTAATGTCCGCATATGAGGGAGAACATACGATTTTTGGTCTTTTTGGAGAACATCATTCTGAGTGAGGTTAGCCTGGCCCAAAAGACCAAAAATATTCCCTATAGGTGACATTAGATCAAGGGCAACACAACAAGGATTAGACTATGAGCACATGATAAAAAGCGAAGAGCACACAAGGAGGGGTGAGGATAGGTAAGACACCTAAAAATTAGCTAGCATTTGTTGCCCTTAACGCAGAGAAACTAAAGCAGATACCTTAAAAGCAACTGAGGCCAATAGGAGAAGGGGACCAGGAACTAGAGAAAATGAGATCAAAAAGAATTAACCTAGATAACACGCATAGCACAGGTGTGTGATATCTCCCTGTAGCTATCCTATCTCATAACCAGCAAAAACCCTTGTTCCTTCCTATTATTGCTTATACTCTCTCTACAACAAAATTAGAGATAAGGGTAAAATAGTTTCTGGGTATTGAGGGGGGGGGAGAGGGAGGGGCATTAGTGGGTGTAAGGTGGGGGTGGGGGCTGGGGTAGAAATGACCCAAGCATTGTATGCACATATGAATAATAAAAAAAATAAAATACAAAAAACAAAAAAAAAACCCACTAGGTTATCTGTCCTATAACTTTCCCTGGATTTTTCATCAGGACATTGCATTCCTGAAAGCCAGTAAGAAAAGTAGCTCAACTGGAACCCTGTTTGACTTAGAGGTGAAGCCTCTTCATCTCCTCTTGGTCAGAAAGCACAGATGCTTGCTGAATCGCATATTTTCAATGTGACCCTACATTACAAAGATCCTCAACAGCATGGTCTCCTTAATGGTCGCAAGACAAGGGTATTAAAATTCTATGATTCTTCCTTTATTTATTGGTGGAAACTGTTTTTAGAAAGAACTGTCCTTCATCAACTATTTGTTCACCTTGACAGGAAAGGCAGGGCAAATCCTTGATTCTTTTCCTTCACCAGTTTTCAGAATAATTACTGTTGGGTTGGTCTTTGCTTCCAGGCCTTTCCAGAGAACACTTAGGAGAAAACAATCAGGAATTTATAATGATACTTCTAAATCAAATTCAGGACCACTGGGTTTGACTTGTTGGATATTTTTTTGTTTTTTCTTTTATTTTGTACTGAAAATCCTGGTTCCTAATAACATTAAACATAATTATATGTTACTTTGTGTGTGTATCTGTATGTTGTCTCAGGTAACTGCTAGGGCTAGGGTGGCCCTGGGTTCGATCCCAGCACCAAAAATAATACATGATAATAATAAGAAACTAAAACCAATTTAAGAGGTTTTTGACAGTTCATTTTGTCCTGAGGATATACTCCACGGAGGACGCATAGCCACATTCTTGAGGTGTTAACTTGAGATCATTTTCTGTGGGTTATGCCAACAATTTGATATAATATTTAATTGGGTTTTTTTTGGATTTCATGTCGATTTGTATTTTATTGTGAGTTATGGTATGTAAAATATTTATATGATTTCAAAAGTCAAAAAGCCCTAGCCATAATCTTCTCCAGTTTGGCATCTCACATCACAAATATTTGCCAACTTTTTGACATATGTATATTATTTCTATTTTTAATTTTTCGGCTAGGGGGTGCTCCCACCAGAGAAAAAAAAGGCATATTGAGAACCATGGTTTGCCTTAAAGTTCAGTTTGATGGAATACTTTTAGGGTGATTACAAAGGAAAGATCAAAAGGTACATTACAAGATCTCTAATCTAATTCCCCTGCTTCACTCAGAAAAGTGCACCATAAACTGGTGAGTGCTTAAGGCAGGGATTAGAAGGCAAAGTCCCTTGTGTCCAATTTCACCCAAGATTAAGGAACCTTCTTTCTTTAGACTTTCTCTTCTTCAGATCCCTGCTTTTATGCAATTCTTTTCTTCATCTCCCTAGCTCCCCTCCAGATGCAGAATCCTTTGTGAATGTTTCTAGCAATTTAACATTACTATAGCCCATAGTTGATGACTATTAACCACAGCCATGAGATGTGTCACCGCTTGATACAGTATCCTGCATCATCCTCCTCACTTTCCAGTTACTTCAATTCTGGCTTTGCAGTTTCTGCAAAACAAGTTGCAAAGAAAATATTTAGTCATTAAAAATTGGATATCCTGTTTCTCCACTGCAAAGCTGTTATTGTACTTTGTAATGAATCAGTTTCTTGTCCGGAGGTATTTTTGAGATTATGCAAATGACTTGTTTTTCATATTTTCACTCACCAATTTTAGACTCTATTGATGATAATTCTTGCCTCCAACAATGACTATAGTCTTTGCCAAATGGTGACTTTTCTATTTGCAGCAGAAGAACATCAGTTAATTGGCATTCTACCGTAAGGAAAAGTTGTTCTTTCCTTCCCCGTTTATTTATTCCATTATGTAATTGAAAGAATTTGTGGCTTTTATTTAATTCTGTGGGTATAATCCACCACATCAGCATTTATTTTATCCTTCAAACAACAGTGCATTTGAGGGGGGTAAGGAGAAGAGATAAAGAGAACTGTAAAGGAATGACAGATCTCAGAAGCAGCCACTTCCCCTTGGGCTGAGAGAGGTTCCAAAGAAGACCCCCTCCACACACGCACCCACCAAGAGACCTACCTTGGTGAAGAGGGCATGGCTCCCTGGATGACACAGTAGTTCACTGAGCTGCCATTTTCCAGGTTCACTGTGCACTATGGAAAGGAGACAACTAAGACGAAGCATGAGTGCCATCATGAGACCTTTTCTGTACTCTGTCCTCCTTGCTTTAGTCAGGGAGGTCACATATTGAGATATAAGACACCCTTTACCCTGGGTTCCTGAGTGACATCATGGAAAGAGTCCCTGGCTAATCCATGCTGGACATGGAAAAATCAACATCTGCTGTCCTAATGATTTGAGGGTAATTTGTTAGTGCAACACAACCTAGTCCATTCTGACTAATACAGCAGTCCAAACGTTTGAGAAATAATGAAAATACACATTTCTCTTTCATGTTCTCATTAAGTCCTACATCTTAATTTTTTTTGGTGGGGGAAGTGGTGGTGCTGGAGTTTGAAACTCAAAAGCCTCACAACTTGCTAGGCGGGTGTACTACCACTTTGGGCCACTCACCAGCCTTGTTTTGTGTTGGGTATTTTCGAGATTGAGTTTCATAAACTATTTGCCAGGGTTGGCCTTCAAATCGAGATGCTTATCTTCTGCCTCCTGAGTAGCTCAGGATTACAGGAGTGAGCCACTGGCACCTGGCTCTTTGTCTTAAGTCTTTAGTATTTGGGTATTAATGACATGCAAGAGATGTAAGAGTCTACTTTTCTCCAAGTATAATGCACGGAACAACTTACATCTAATCTGTTGTCTATAACCAAAAGATGCAAAAACTTAAAGAACAAACGAGCCCTAAGACGAAACATGTATTCCTTTATGGCCAACTCTCAACATTTAGTTGGGGAATCAGTTTTGGGATTCTCACTCAAGTAGTGAAAGCGCAGTTTACAACTGTTATGTATTTCATTTTTCGGTGAGGACTGGGCATGAACTCAGGGTTTTGTCCTTGCAAAACAGGGCTCGCAAAGCTGGCACTCACCGCTTGAGCCACACCTCCAGTAACATTCCAGCACAACCACTTACAGAAACCAGATGATTATGTCTTTGGGCCGGACACTGTTGCTGATCTTCATCGTTTTGTGTACTGAGCCAAGGCTACAAAGCTGCACCACTGGCAGGACTAGGCTAACTGCGGGAAGGGCCTGCACGACTTTCCCAGACCCTGCGGTGCAGAACCCAAGAAAGGCACGGCCTTGGGAGGTGGGAATCGGACCACTTTCCCACGCAGGCGCTCTCAAGTTCCGGTCTCCTCACATGGTGACTAGAGGAGCGCACCCCGCCCTCTCTGGCACTAACACTTAACACTTTCCGCGCTTGTGCCGGTGCTCATGTGGGCGGGAAAAGCCCTAGAAATCGTCCTGATTGGTCCCGGAGGACTGCGCGGTGCTTGACGGGATTCCAACGCAGTGACGCCACTGCGTTTAAGGCGTGGCGTCGGCTCAGGGCACCTAAGGGAGATTTGGGGACGCGGGGCATTTCCTTTTGAGTGCTTTAGAGTCGCTACGAGCCACTGCCAGCGCTCCATGAGGAAGATGCTCGCTGCGTGTCCTCCCCGTTTGTTCGGCGCTGCCCAGAAGCCGGTGAAGACGGCCCGTAGGGGCGCGGCGGGGCCCAAAGGGGCCACCGCCGGAAGTGGCGCAGGAGATCCACCGCCTTTTCTTTTCCGTATCGCGGTGCTGAGGTCCTCTATCCTCGGAAGGCCGGTCGTGCGCCAGCGAGGGAGGAGCGGGAGGCCTTCAAAGGCGAGGTGGGGCAGCTGCACCCTCCACCAGGCCTGCGCGGGGCGAGCTGGATAGAAAGACTGTGGGCCACGGAAAAGGCAGGCCTTGGGCTGTTGCCAGCTCGCCTTGACTCTACTCATTCCTAGTCTTCCTGCATATGGTTACTGTTGACTAGAGCCTGTTGTACAAGTAGACAAGTTTCGAATCGGACCCTGAAATTGCTCTAGTGCGAACGCTGTCATCTTTATTCACTAGCCTCTGGACCTAGGCAAACCCCAAAAATGCCAGTTTTGGGTTTTTTTTTTTTCTTTAAACATTCCAGGATCCAGGTTCCTCGTCTCTGAAATGGAAGAAAGAGTACCCCATCTCGTTTAGGGTTAGTGAAGACTCAATGAATGAATGTAACCTTTGCAAATAATGCCAGCCCATAGTAGATGCCCATATGTTGTTCGAATCATGAATGCCCTTTGTTGGTATGGCATTTGAACCTCTGTGCTGGGCTCTCAGGAGGGTCAGCTGTTGGTGGGGTCAGGATCCTCGCCTGCCCTGCTGTCAACAGCTGAACTTTTTTCTTGACATTCTACGGTAGAAAGAGCATCGGGGAGAAGCAAACCCCAGTAGGAAAGTCCTTCACCCTTAAGCCCACAGAGGCTTAGGTAAAAGTAGGTAAAGAAAACAGCAGTGATCTTAGGATGGTTGGAGGTTAGAGGCTTTAGACATCCTACGCCTGGTTTTAGATGTGCTTTATTACCAAGGCTAGCATTTTTGACCTCTGGTCACACTGATGAGTGTGTTTCTTGTATAACCTGCCACTAAGCTTTGACTTGTAATTCTTGTAGTAATTCCTCTAGGATTTGATGCAACTCTGCTTATTATGGACAGAGGTTGGCAAAAGGGGAAGGTGTACTGCTTTAGGAATCCCATTGATTTACCACAAACCATATTAGCACTTGAATTATAATGGGAGCCAACACTTCCTGTTAACATATTTCTGTATACATGCATGATATATCCAATATAAATTGTACTCTAGGCTAGATTCTTCTGTATTATTTAATCCACACATCAGTTTTTAGTTGAATATAAGTAATAGAGACATTTTTTAAACATATAGTTTCTTAGGTATGTACAGAAATTTCTTAGCTGAAGGTAGAGTTTGCTTATAGCTTTGAGATTCTATAAGGAAAAGTGAAAACAAATTGAAGCTTTGTTATTGAAGCTTCACACTTCAACAGAAAAAAGGAAAAAAACATCTCAAAGATGCTACTGAAGTCAAACTTAGATTTCAAGAAGTTGAAGCTAGTGAGGGAAAAAAAAAGCCTTTCTAGCAGAGTTTCTGCTTTTAAGACATGTCCTCCCCTTTGGGATAACAGTTGATAAGAGGGCAGAACTAATAATTAGGGATCCAGAAACATCCTTTAATCTGTGGGGGGGGGGTTGTTTTGTTTTGTTTGAGGGGGGGGACTGGGGTTTGAACTCAGAGCTTCACACTTTCGAGGTGGGTGCTCTACCACTTGAGCCATACCTCCAGCCCATTTTGCTCTGGTTATTTGGAGATGGGGGTCTCAGGAACCGTTTGCCTGGGTTGACCTCAAACCTCGATCCTCTCAATCTCAGCCTTCCAAGTAGCTAGGATCACAGGCATGAGCTACTGGTGCCCAGCAAGCCCATTGCTTTTTAAGTTATTTGTGTTAAATATCTTTGCTTTCACCTTATATGTTTCTCGCTAATGTATTATTTCATACTTTGAGTACTTTAGATGGTTTTTCCTCCAAGGTTTATGTCATAGAAAAGTAAAGTTTGCCATGAATAGAGATTAACTGATAGTTTTATTTGAAGTGTAATTTTGAAAGTGAACCTCAAATTGTTCAAATGAATGATAAGTTAAGCCCACAGATCATCTAGTTTTCTTTGATTTGATCATTAATTTCATTATATTCTCACTATAATTTCTTTGAAAAGAGAATAATCAAGTGGATGGGTTTGGTTTTTGTCACCTTTCTGTTTGCATTCAGACAGAGATATGATTTGTGTTAACTGTCCAAAGCATGGATTCATTTTAGAAGACAAGGAAGATACCAGTATAGTGAATAGAACTGAAGAGAGAAACACACGAACATGTTGGGGCTTGTTAAATTTCCATGACTGCATCCTGCTAATTGATTAATGATAGTAATGACTTTCTAAAATAACTGGTAGTTAAAAAAAAAAGTACGATTTATTTGCATATTTTTGTCTTTCTAGGCAAGCAGAGTACTAGTGGCATCCCGTAATTTTGCAAATGATGCTACATTTGAAATTAAGGTAAGAGATATTTTACTTTAGGTTAATAGTTTTTCCACAAGTATAATCTGATACATAGTTTTACTTTTAGAATAGAACATTTTGATATTGGTGTTTTTTTTCATTTTCTTCCAAATGTTCTAGAACCAAAAGCTCAGAGAAGTTTAGCAAAAATAAGAGTTTTTCTTAGCAGCTTGCTGGTAGTTCAGGGGAAAGGAGAGGCTTAAAACAATAATGGAAATTTACCCCCAAGTTTAAGATGTGATTCAGCTAAATATCTGAATAAGAAGGTTCTTACATGTTTCCTTGAAAATTCATCTTTCAATCTATAAACTCAGTTGACTTCTTGAAGTTTTCAGTGAAAATCGTCTTATATTTCCTTCCAAAACCACACCTCATTATATATTTAAGGGATCAGAAGCATTTTGAAGCACTGTTGATGTTGTGCTTTGCTGGTTTTTCAAGTTTAATATTATTTTGCAGCAGAGTAAGATCTTAGAATGAGTCAGCAGTGTTTGTGATGTAGTAACTGGAAGATGACTGCCTTGCTGCATTTCAGAAATGTGATCTTCACCGGCTGGAAGAGGGCCCTCCTGTCACAACAGTGCTTACTAGGGAGGATGGGCTCAAATACTATAGGATGATGCAGACTGTGCGCCGAATGGAATTAAAGGCAGATCAGCTGTATAAACAAAAAATTATTCGTGGTTTCTGTCA